TACTCTGCAAGATATTAGTGTCTGCAGAATTAATTAAGCAACAAAAAAGGAGTTTAGATGAATATAGCTATTTTGGTTGCACTATCATAACTGTGCTGATGAAACATGTGTGCAATTCTGTTTAGGAAAAAAAAGGATACACCGAGACCTTTAATGATTATTTCATTTGCTGTTGCCCAGCCCTATAGTATTCAGTCAATTAAATAAACATATATTTGAAATTTCCTGATATTGTTTTTCTGTATTCTCTATCATACTGCATCTATCCTTAAAAATCTAGGTTGGCTTCTTTTAAATCCTTATAGCAACAGCCTTTTACTATATCCCCCCTCCTCCCCCTCCATGTTTTCTATTTGCCAAAAAAGGGATTATCATATACCTTCTTCAGATGGGTTGGTGGAGTGAACAGAAGGAATATCTTATCTTCATTATTGGAAGTGTAGTTATCCTTGAAGAGTCTTCATCAGATAGCTATGCTGATTCGGTAAATTACACTGACATTTACTGAGGGTTGGCAAGGTTACGGATCCTTGCCCTTTTAATAAGAAAACTACACTGGTCTTTTCTTCTTTGACATTTCACCTGTAAGGAAGGCAGTAGTAGGGAGTATATGTGTCTACATAAAATTTATACAAGGTCATATCTCTAAATTGTCCTGTATGTAATTTAAATAGGGTTGGTTGGTGCACATTTTAAACCAGGAGGGTAGATGCAAGTAGTTTTAAGCAAGCCTCAAGTAAAGTCACTGTAATCTACTCATGCTAGATTTACAGTCCTGTCCAGTAAACTTTTCACGCTTTGGGTTGTTCAGATATATATATATATATATATATTATTTTACATGCTTTTCCAACTTCAAGATTTACCATTATCGTCATATAATCACTTTCTTGTCTGTTCATTATTTTGATTTTTAAACTAAATTTTTGATTTGGCAGTTCAGGGGATTCCTTTATTTGAGGCTGCATTCACGAGATGTACAGTTATGTTGGTACTGTCGTAATTTGGTTGAGAAGGGGTGAGCAGCCACTTTTTGCAACATCCCATGTTAGGAATATTTTGATTTCAAGGGCCCTTGTAGGCTGTTTTTCTTTGTCCAGTTTTGTATATTGGTGAGTTGCTTACTTGTTTTATGAATTTTTTTTCTCTCAATATTTTTTTAAGCATTTCATAGATCACTCTTGATACTATTGCCTAATTTTCTTCGTTGAAGATTTTTTCACTGGACTTTTTTTTTTTTTTAGAAATTTATCATAGTTTTAGGATTATGGGATCATAGATTTTTTTGAATATTTTGAGTGTTCCACAGATGGCTGATGGCATACCATCAAAAGCTATTGAGTCTATACAAATACAGTAATTGCATTAGCAGCCACCCTATATACTATCCAGTAAAAGCATTTGTGGATGTTGCATTGCATTTGTATGTTTCTTGTAACTCATAAGTATGAAGTAGTAAAGGTCTGAATGCAGGATGTAATTCTGTCTTGATGCTCCTTTAGAATTTAATTAGTTGCAAACTACTTTGATAACAAGAACTCTGTTCATTTCAGTGTTCAGAGGTTGCCTTTCTCTCAGGCTATTGTATTAAATTTAACAACTCCTATTATGGCATCAATTATAGCAAGGATCTTTTTGCATGAGAAGTTGAAAATTGCAGACATTTCAGGTAAAGTGTTTTTATTCAGTTCTTAAGATCCAATGCGATTAAATATGTATATTTCTGTGAAGAACCCAAAGAATTGTAGTCTGGTTGGGCAATTTTTAGGTGGAATAACCGTCTCCTTGGTTGATAATCATTTGACAAGGTCTTGTTTCCATACATGTTTTTGACATTCTATATTCTTGGACTTGTTGTTATTAGATATTTCAGGCCATGCCCATGAATCCTTACCCCAATTAACAACCCTAAAATTGTATGCTTCAAACCTTGAAAGCCTTCACTTTCTCTTTGGTTGGGGTTCGTTTCTTTTCTATCGATCTCTGTATTTGTATGCAAAGAGGAAATGTAACTATTATCTTACTAACAATAAGATATTTTATATAAAACATAGCCATTGTTGTGGAGGAATAAATTGTACTAAAAAATTCTGAATTAGTGTGTCACTGCTGAGAACAGCCAGACACTTGGTTTAGCAATAAGATACATAGTAATGATTGGTTATTATTGTCATCTTTATTTCAGGCCTTGCTTGCAGTTTCTTTGGTGTGCTCTTCATTTTCCATGAAATGCTTGCTACGCAAGGTAGATTTCTGTTCTAAGTCTCGTGAATGCATCATTTTTCATATAATTTATGAATTTGAATATTTGTTCCTTCATGTTGTAGTTGGCTTGCACAATTTAAATCTATGTATGTACTGGGTGAGTTTGAATTCATTTTTTTGTGTTTTAGATTCAGGGATCTTGCTCATTGTTATTTTTTGTAAATGCTTTAATTCATCATATTAGAAGCCTTCCCTGGATAAAAATTTTAGGAGTGAGCTTTGGGCATCTTTAAAGGACTTGCATGTCCTAGACTTTGAGAATGTTGAGGTCTATGAGTTTATCTAGTTCTAATAAAATGTTTTTTGTTTTTTATTTATTTCTAATAATTGAGAGGTCTAGTCTGCATTTTATTGTTTGATGCTTTCAGTAAGAACCGCATGTTCAGCTTAACTACTCTCTATTTTTGGAATTTCAGGACAGCTAGTTAAAGCTGAGGAGCAAAGAGATGCAAATTATAAAGGAAGTCATCTATTTGCAGTATTACTTGGTCTCGTTTCATCAATTACTGGCGGAGCCAGCTACTGCCTTATAAGGGCTGGAGCAAAAGCTTCTGATCAGCCACTGTAAGATCATAAAGTTTTTGGCTGGTATATAATTTGTCATTATTATTTTCTTGGGTGTCTATACTCTGACTCACATGCTTTTTGGGGACTAGAAGAGGATCAAATGCAAAGCCCTTTGGCCCAACCGGAAGTCAAAGTATAAAAAAATAATTTCCAAGCTATTAACTTTATGCCTTACTTTTCTTCATTTGTAGTTTTATTTTATTGCCATTATTATGGTAGGCAATGTCCTAGGGTGGCCTAAAACTTTGTTCCAAATGTTGTTGATTTATAGTTTACAATTCTTTTAGAATCTTTCAGTATATATACTGAACAAGAGCATGGGGAAAATCTCTCTTATACTGCTAATGGTTTAGGCTAGCAACAGTCCTGCTGTCCAAGGCCAAGACACATGACGTGATTACAGGGGGGAAATAAAAGCAAGACATTGAAACTATCTATTCCCTAAAAATCGGCAATATAATGATCTAGACAGAGAAGAGAAATAACAAAGATAAAAATATAAAACATTAAACAGCAAATTTGCAAGAACTATATTTCACTAAGATATACTTAATTGGAAAGGTTAAGATTCATGAGCAAGTTAAGCAACGGCAATGCTAACCTGCTAAAATGATGGATGGGAGACAAAAGGTTTATTTATAAGATAATTGCAATGATCTTGAGATGGTGAAAAAACTGGCTAACTTATTATTTAGGCTTTGAGGTTGTAGCCTGGATAGAATACAACAACAAGTCTTTATCCTACTAGGTGGGGTCGGCTATATGGATTGCAAGACGCCATTGTGCTCTATCATTTATCAAGCTTTTAGGAATATTATTAATTACGAGATCGCGTTCAACAACTTCCAAGAGTGTTCTCTTAGGCCTTCCTCTACCTCTCTTAATCGGACTCAAAGTTATATGTTCCACTCTTCTCACTGGTGCCTCCCTTGGTCTTCTTTGTACATGCCCAAACTATCTCAACCGATTTTTTACCATTTTTTCCTCAATAGGTGCCACCCTAACTTTTTCGCGTGCGTGCTCATTTCGAATTTTATCTTTATGTGTATGTCCGCACATCCATCGTAACATTCTCATTTCTGCTACTCCAACTTTATGCTCTTGCTGTCCCGTTAGAGCCCAGCATTCACTACTATATAACATTGCCGGTCTGATAGCAGTGCGATAAAACTTTCCTTTAAGTTTATTAAGCACCTTACGGTCGCAAATAACTCCTTTAGCTTTTCTCCAATTAAACCACCCAGCTTGAATTCTATGTGAAATATCTCCACTGATTTCGCCATCATTTTGAATAATGGCTCCCAAATATCTAAACTTTTCCACTTGAGGTATAATTTGATCTCCCAATTTCACTTCCAAATTATTGTCCAATAGTCCTTTGCCAAATTTACAATATAAATATTCCGTCTTACTTTTATTCAGACGAAAACCTTTCGACTCCAATGTCCTCCTCCATAACTTAAGTTTGCAATTAACCTCTTCTCTTGTCTCTGCCATAAGAACTATATCATCCGCAAAGAGCATACATTTCGAAATTTCCCCTTGAATATGTTCTGTCAAAACATTTAAGATCAAGTTGAACAAATAAGGACTCAGAGATGATCCCTGATGTAGTCCAATCTTTATAAGAAAATCTTTTGTTTGACCACTAGGCGTTCTTATACTAGTTTTTCCCCCCTCATACATATCTTGTATGGCTTTAATATAAGCAATCCGTACTCCCTTTTTTTCCAACGCTTTCCAAAGCACTTCTCTTGGCATACGGTCATAAGCTTTTTCTAAATCAATAAAAACCATGTGTAGATCTTTATCTTTACAACGATACTTTTCCATTAATCCCCTTAGTAGATAAATCGCCTCTGTAGTTGATCTACCTGGCATAAAACCAAATTGATTCTCAGAAATACTTGTCTCCAATCTCAACCTATGCTCAATTACTTTCTCCCACAATTTTATTGTGTGGCTCATGAGTTTAATCCCTCTATAGTTAGTACAATTCTGAATATCTCCTTTATTTTTATAAATAGGAATTAATGTACTTCTCCTCCACTCATCAGGCATTTTCTTGGATCGTAAAATCACATTAAATAACTTAGTTAACCATCTCACCCCTTCTTCACCTAAACATTTCCACGTTTCGATAGATATACAATTAGGTCCGTTGGCTCTACCATTTGCCATTTTCTTAAGAGCTTCCTTTACCTCCTTATCACATATTATTCGATAGAATGACAAATTTTGTTCTCCTTCACCAGTTACTAAATCCTCCAAGTTACTAGATGAATCCTCTCCATCATTGAAAAGTTTAGAAAAGTAAGTCTCCCATCTATTTTTAATTTCATCGTCTATAACTAAAATTCTTCCCTCTTCATCCTTAATACACCTTACCTGTTCTAGATCTCTTGATTTTCTTTCCCTACTCTTGGCAATTTTATAAATATTTCGCTCTCCTTCCTCTGTCTCAAGGCTCTTATAAAATTCTTCAAAAGCTTTAGAACGAGCTTCACCCACAACTCTCTTAGTTTCCTTCTTAGCCATACGGTACCTCTCCCAATTTTTTTCATTGTTACACAAATGTATGGCTTTAAAACAGTTCTTCTTATACTTGATTTTGTCCTGTACACTATTATTCCACTACCAAGACTCCTTATCTCTCGGACCAGAACCTTTTGATTCTCCCAAAACTACTTTTGTAACCTCCCGTATCTTTTTAGCCATATCCTCCCATATGATGTTAGCACTTCCCTGAGATTCCCAAATTCCTTTATCCAAAAGATTTCGCTTGAAAATATCTTGCTTCTCACCTTTTAATTGCCACCACCTAATCCTTGGTGCTACTACTTGTCGACGTTTTTAGATTTTACTCACAATACACACATCAAGGACTAGGACCCTATGTTGTGTCGTTACAGCATCTCCGGGGATCACCTGATAATTTTTACAAAGTCTTCTATCTGTGTTCCTAACCAAAAGAAAATCAATCTGTGACCTTGAGGCTCCACTTTTGTAAGTGATGAGATGCTCATCTCTCTTCTTGAAACAAGTGTTGGCAATCTTAAAATCATATGCCAATGAGAAATCAAGAAGAGTTTGTCCTTCATTGTTTAGCTCTCCAAAACCAAAACCACCATGCACCCTCGCATACTGACCAGCTTCCCTCTTGACATGCCCATTAAAGTCTCCTCCAATAAAAGTCTTTTCACTCTGTGGTATGTGTCGAATCAACCCCTCCAGATCCTCCCAAAATAATTCCTTAAGATTGGCTTCTGTCCCGACTTGCGGCGTATAAGCGCTAACAATATTAACAGTCTCACGTCCAATTATCATTTTTAAGAAAATAATTCTGTCTCCAATTCTGCTAACTTCTACAATGCTCTTCTTCCACTCCTTATCTATAATGATGCCTACTCCATTGCGTGCACTTACTTTTCCTGTATACCAAAGTTTGAAACCTTGAATATCCTTAGCTTCTTCTCCACGCCATTTTGTTTCTTGCAGGCAAAGGATATTGATTTTCCTTTGAATCATAACCCCTACAACCTCTACAGATTTACAATTTAATGTCCTAACATTCCAAGTACCAAATTTAATTTTGCTCTTATGGACTAACTTCTTTAGCCGCGTGCGTCCAGAATGACGCGGTAGTCCTTGCTCATTTAACACTACATCCAGGCGCCGATGCAGCGGCTCTAACTCACTTATCACTGTACTCGAGCCATGCAGCGCGTTACTTACGGGCAACGACCTAGCATTAACATTATAATGTCTATTGTCCATGTTCATGATAGATTTAACAAAGTTTTACATTGGCTGTTGATGGCCTAACACAACCCTCCTCCTTTACCCGGGCTTGGGACCGGCTATAAACATAGGCGGAGTTAGCCTGGATAGAATCTTTGCAAAAAATTGAGAAATAAGGTCATAATAAGTTGTTGAGAGTTCATGACCATTGCTCTGTTACAATAAAAAAGGGAATGAAACTTGACAAACGGGATTTTTTTTTTTTTTTTCAAATGAAAAACACGGACCTGTTTTTTTCTTAGCAACAATTGGAGTGTTTTGTTTAACGTTGAAAAATAAATCATAGTTAGCTAGCTATATATTAACAACATATCAAGATTCACGTATCTGATAACTTTGGAGTCACACCATATACATCATGGAATGTCCAGTTTGGTGGATTTTGACATGCATGTTGCTGATTATGTTCCAAGATACTCTGACAAATTAAAATTTGTCACGCTGCATAGTGCAATTGCTGTGGTATGGTAGGTAGAAGCGCGCTTGATTATAAAATTGTTACATGCTTTATCTAACCCATGAGACACTAATAGTCAGTGAAATTAGAGGGGACGTGGCATATTAGGAAAAATATGCATGTGAGTTTCTCTTTCTAATGGAATAGTTTAGAGAGCTTTTATAACGCCTGTAACCTCTGAAATTCTGCCTTCTTCCAGGGTAACCGTCCTTACATTTAGCATGCTGGCTAGCCCGGTGATGGCCATATGTACATTTTTCTTTGAGGTAAAGTCATGGTGCATTTAAGCTGCTATTTCTGGGTAAATGCTTAGTTATACGACCACCAAGCCATTGGTAACCTACTCCAGGTGGACGCTGGTCAGAAATGTCTGGTAACAGGGTAAAAGAGCAGCAAATTCCATGAAATTTCTGATGTTTTTTCCTCCCTTACTATGCCAGCATTTTAAAATCATCATTTAGTATTATTAGCTTTTTTACCATCTATCCTATAACCTTTTGCTTTAGGATATGATTTTTCATGATGTTTTACATCAAATATATTTTCCTCGTTAAATACCTTAAATGGGTGAATAAAAGTTATTTTAGGAATCATGGAGGACAGATAGATGGTTGTATGAGTTCCTAGAAGATGATTGATGCCCAGATAAAAAAAATTAATTTATATGTCAAAGTTCTAAGGCACCATAGTTTTGTTGAGTACCATCATCTATTTTATATCACATTTGAAAGGAAAAGATGGATATAGGTGAGAAATGAACATCTAAGAATTTACATATGGCTACCTACCTTTAGGACACATCAGATGGGGTTTGGTCAAGCCAGTTATTGTTAGCATTTTTATCTTCACAAAATTCCTTGTCAATATTAGTCTCTGTTATCTCTCTTGTGAACTTGTTAATATTTCAACAAATTAAAACCTTGTCTTGTTGATGCAGGATTTTGTGCTCCCAGGATTTCAATCAATTATACTCATGCTTGTACTTAGTGTTCTTGCCTTCTTTGCCGAGGTGCTATTCTAGACTATATTATGATCCTGTTCTTTTATTTTTCAAACAAAATTGTGATATAAACAGTCAGTGAGTTGGATAACAGGCTCATCATGCTTATTAGTTAAGGACTGCATAGAATTTTTGGTTTTTTTGGTGATCATCAGTTAAGGGGAAGTGAGATATTAGAAGCAAAAAGAATATCCTGCACTGTGTTACTCTAATATATTGCACTTTTTGATCATCGTGGAATACAGCTTCAACAGTATTGTTCTTGGTTCACACTGTATTATGACATTTTTTAGAGAACTACCTGTGAAATTAGATTCATGAAGTCAATGAAATAAGTAACCGGCTATTTCTTCGTTTAAAGTGACTTTAACATTTCTTCACTTTTCATTTATAAACATGACATGCCATTTATACACGACATCTGATGTGTTTCATAGACAAGCATGATTAGGGTACATGTTCAAAAAATATTCATGTATGAACGGTATAAATTAATCCTCCTGCATCCTACTGCTATAATAACAACCTAAATTTAAAGCACCCTAAGTTATAGCTAGCCAATAAAAAGGAGGAAATGAAAGATACTTGTTGAACAGCCACCAGAATAGGATGCTAGCATTTTGACCATTCCACTTGTATTGTTGAAAGGTTTGTGATGGAACTTTTTCTGTAATCTGTATATGAAAACATAGTTTGTGTTAATTGTGATGAGTATAACGGAAAAGACAACCTGAACCAGGAATGAAATAGAATACGTCAGCATGCATGACATTTTTTGCGCTCCCTGCTCACCTCTCTACAGTTTGAGTTCTGCATTTCTTGACATGATACAAAGTTAAAGGAAGCTGAATACAGATTGTCAAAATAGACATCAGTGCATGGATTCACATTTTGCATTCTTCATGCCTTAAAAAATGATGGCAATCAAAATACAGAGAATAGAGATGGGAGAAGGAACTGTTTGTGTACCTAAAGAATCAGGATGTGTCCTTGACGTCTTATGAATTTGATCAATTTAGGATGGGTAGAACCTCTATGCATTGCATAGAACCTAAAGAGTTAGTTGTGTCCTTGACGCCCTATGAATAATATGACTTGTTATAGATTTTATATTTTATATTGATTGTTCTTAAATAGAAGCTTATTTATTAATGGAGATGAGAGATGTCACTTCAGCTTCTTTATGGAGCTCAATTAGTGCTTACGCCATGTTATGAATCCCATGTTAGGGGTCTTGCATGAAAAGTGGGACCTATCAGTTTAGGAGTTTTTCCTATGCAATGGACTAGTCTTTTGACATGGTTTTCCTTTCAAACTTGTACTTATAACAATGGTTCTTTCATTGGGAGGCCAATACTACGGAGAGGGCTATTTATGGAGGGTTCAAACTGTTAGATGGTTCTGACTGATGTTGAAATTGAATGAGGTGCCACTAAGTGTCGTGGAGTGCGTCTACCAATGATGTTGATTTTTAAATGAAGGTGTATTATTATTTGTTATAAGTCTTGTATCAAGGAGTCTCACATGAAAAATGGGAATTGTAAGTCTAGATTCCCCGACCTAATGGACTAACAACTGATGGTGATTAATTGTTTATTATGTTGTGAGATTGAAGAGTTTCTTGTATTAATTTGTTTTCCTAATTTTTGCCTATTAAAAACAAAAAGAAAAAGGGACAATTCTCTTTCCTTTGCCCATATTCTCTTTCTTTTCCTCCAATTCCATATTTTCTCCATGTTCAAACACTATCAGCTCTTCACTGTTGAATAATCATTTGTTCATAAATCTCTTGCAGGTATTGTTAGCACGTGGACTGCAACTTGAGAGGATTGGGAAAATTGTCAATCTCCTATACTTGGAGGTATGCTAATTATACTGCCAGTTATCTTATTTCTATTTCCTTCGCTATAATTTGGAAGTGTTTCCATTCGCTTGAACTTTGAAAATAGAACTACTTCAACAGAAAACTTTCCATTTGTTCTTTCTCTTCATTTCATCACCCAACTTAATACAGAAAAGTGAGGAAGTAACTTACCAAACCCTATATAGTTGCTTACAGTTAATGATGGAAACAAGAACACCCGTAATCCTATTAAACACTTCCTATCAATCTTATGGACCAATGTTTTACAGTTTTGACCCTCTGCTATGGTACTGTGATGTTGTAAGACAGAGTGTGGTACGAAGAAATGGGAGTGTATAAGAGTCGTTTCATTTATTTATACACATCCAAATTTTTTCTCTCTGCTACGTCTTTTTTCAGCACTACATGCAATAATTTATTTATTATAGAGGATCTGGACTAATGTTATGCTGGGGGAAAAAGTTCTATCAATCATGTGAAAATTGTTTAGAAACTAGAGTTTGTAAGTAGGCAACATGGCATTTCATATTAGAAATCTTACAGATCATTTGTTCAGTGGCTCTGTGGCATTATGCTCACTCTGTGTGGTGTAGATCACAGGTTTGGCCCCTCTAGCAAGCTACTTGCTTGCTATAATAATAATAATAAAAATAATAATAATTAAAAAAAAAACAGTTGCCGGCCTTAAATGAAAGGAATTGTGGCTGCTTAAACATGACGTCTCAAGTTTGTGTGAATGTAGAAAATATCTTCGAGAAAACTATTTTCAATTGAGCCTAACAATACTCAAATTTACCCCAATCATTTAAAAAACAAAGAAAGAAAGAAAGAAATCATACGGGACCAATCATTTGTCTTGAATTCCCATTACTTTATATTTATTAGCTCTTCATTTTATATGTCCTTTTTTTCAAATACAATGCAGGAAAAAACGTGTAGGGGTAATAATTAGTTCGTATTAGAGCATATAAAGCTTCTACAATCTAATGGTAGTTTCTGAAAGATCATAGTGACAAGATTGTCATGAGGCACATGGCAAACAAGCCAATCCTTACATCTATTTGCTTCATGAAAAAAAAAAATTGATTAAAAGTAACAATCCAATCTTTCATGATGGAGTTCCTGATTTTATTAATAATATTCGAGAGATTTTATATGCCCCTTAATAGCTATGTATATCTGTCACTAAGCAAGAACTGCTTTGCTCGCCTTGTTGTTTTCCTTAGTTTGAGACTTGAAAACCTGTTCTGGTGACTGATACGGGCAATCCCTTTTAATTTCAGGTGGAATTATCACAATTGTGGAGGCTTGCTTTTTCAAGAGCGGCTCCATCTTTCAGTCAGGTTATTGGATTGTTACTTGTTATTGTTTCTGCATGTTGTACTTTGTATTTGGGACCTGATAAAGAGTTGGAATGATAGATTTAAATCAGCTATTTGTGTTAGGATTTAGTTGCTGTCATTTGTTGTATTGGACTTGGATCCTCTAAATTTGAGGATGGTAAACCTGAGTACATTTTACTATATTCGGAAAGATAAAAGAGAACCAAAAGAGCTTATATTTCCCCACCAAAAAAAAAAAAGAAAAAAGAAAAAAGAAAGAATAGGGAAAATTACTCAGTTTCATGGTATCAAACTTCACCGGCTCAGTTTGACTAGATAACCTGTTTTGGCGATTGGACCATTTTTGAGCGTGACAGTTTAGACAAAATCAGAATTAATGTGGTTTTTTCTGCTTTTATTTTAGTAATAAAATTATTTATTCAATTTCAAAATATTGATTTTTTTTTTCAGGTTATAATAAAATTTTAAGTGCATGATTTGTTTATAGGAATTAAATGAATTAAGTTGTAGAGAAAATTGAAAACTTATTTGTAACAAATAAAGTAAATTAAAAAAAAGTATACATACGAAAAAAAAATGAGAAAATTGAAACCTAAGATGTTATGGTTGAATAACTCTGAATTAAAAATGATACTAAGATTTTTAATATTATATATACATGCGTGTACATATAAATATTATTTTTATTTAATTATTATATCAATCATTTGATTGTCAATCTAACTTGTAGGGGACGTGTTTCTAATGGAATGATGATTTTGTTCTTAGAAGGAATATTGTCACACCCTTTAGTATAGGATGCTCATTGTTATTTTAAAAAAAAAAATCAAAGGAAAAAATGGTCTTTAAATGTAGAAATTTTTGTTTCTTAGTTATGGCATTAGCGGTATGTGTCAAATATGTCTCTTGTTAATATGATACCAAGATTTTTAATATTATATATGTGTGTGTACACGCGTGTGTATATAAATATTATTTTTATTTAATTATTATATTAATCATTTGATTGTCGATCTAATTTATAGATGATGAGTTTTTAATGAAATGATGATTTTGCTTTTAGTGGGAACGTTGTTACATTTTTTAGTATAGAATGCCCATCATTTTTCAAAAAAATTAAAGGGAAAAATGGTCTTTTAAGTGTAGAATTTTTTGTTTCTCAGTTATGACATTAGCGGTTTATGCCAAATATGTCTTTTGTTAATATGATTATTATATACTTAATTGAGCCTCAGATATTAACCATAACAGATTGTAATCTAACTGTGTTGAGGGAGGAGATACAATTTTAATTTTTTAACTAATGGTTCACCATTATTTATTGGCTCTTCCTGTGATGAAGCTAAAAAAAATTGCTCATGATCTTTAAATTAAGATGAGTTAAAAAGCAATTTTCTCTTAAACTATAAATTCAAGAGTGCCTAAGATTCTAAATTTATTTTTAGTATAATATGTATCTTAAATATTTAAAAAGGTGTAATATTACCTCTACCGTTATGTTAATTTAAATCATTAATTAGCTAGAAAATTATAAAAAATATCCTCAAAATTACCACAAAAGAAACAAGTCCAAAAATATTACAGAAAAAACTTCAAAAATTACAAACAAATAGAAAATTAATACCAAAAGACAAATGCTATTTCCTTTACGTGTAAAAGACTAAGTTTTAATTTTGGCTCTAACAGGCTACTAGATAATTATTGGATCATCATTGTTGATGCTAGTACCAATAAGTAATTAAAAATGTATTTTTTTAATAATATTGTATTAAACATTAAATATATATTTTAAATATTATTATTATTATTTATAAATATTTTTTCCAAAATTTATAATTCTTCTTTTAAAAATTAACAGTTTAACTAATATATCTCAAATTTATAGAAAAATGATTTTTAAAAAAATTAATTATTATTATCTGTAAAAGATCACATTTACTTTTAATCACGAATACATTAGTTAAATTGTAATTTTTGGAGAAATTATAAGTATCATAAGTTAATTTATAAATTGTGTGTTACGAGTTGTTATAATAATAATAATAATAATAATAATAATATATCAATTATTATATGTATGTACAATAAATTATTAATATTTTAGTATGATATTGTTAAAATAAATATAATAGTTTTATTTATCGGTTTTATTGTTAGTAATGATGACAAGACTTGATAGCCTGTCAAGTAACTGGTTAAAATAGTATTTTGATAAAAAATAATATTTGTCTCTTAATATTTATTGTAATTTAAGAAACTTAATTTATATTAATTTTCTTATAAGATATTTATTTGTAATTTTTTGATTATTTTTTTTAATTTTTGAAATCTTTTTCTATATATTTTGTCCACTAACAATTAAAATTAATTTTTATTATTAGTATGTGCAACATTGCATAATTTTTAAATATTAAAAAGAGAATATTGCATTAAAATAAGGGTTTGGGGTCGAAGATACAGTCTTAGATTTATAATTTAATGGCAAAACTGTTATTTAACCCAATTAAGATTTATCCATTAACAAAGAAAAGCAAAAACATGCATTCTTTTGTCACCGAGACACTTCCAAATTTCAATAGTCATGGTCAGCTGGACACTACGGTAACCAGTAATCACAATATAATTGACGTGAAAAATACAAAAATTTAAAAAAAAATCATACCAATAATAATTATTTAATGTATATAAATAAAAGGAATGTATAGTATTTCTGAAATGGAATTTAACCGAGAACAATGCCACCGAGGCGATGTCGTTCGTGGCAATAATCATTTTTTTTTATTTTGAACAAAGGGACCCTTAAATACATTGTCGTGCAAATTAATAACAATAATTATGTTCATAAAAAATAATAACAATGAATTTTCTTGATTTGCAGGATATTAATATTTTAAACTTACCGTATCCAATGCATTTGCGCTGGGTTTCTTCTAATTATTCTTTGAATAGTGATAAGCATATGTAGAATTGTAGATGGTTTAGGAAATGACTCATGGAAGAATGATAACGAAAGATTTTGTTCATTGTATATTATTTATTGATTATATTTATTAAATGAGTGAATTATATACCTTCAAAAAAAATCTCATTGATAATATACCTAAAATAATGTGATTCATCTTCTTCCTATTGTACCAAGAAAGGATCCAATTCAACACTATCTAAAATGACATGCATGATGCATCTTTATTGCAGTTGGTACATGCAATATATATTTGGTTATATATTTAATATTTATATTAATTGTGTGAATAACATACATTTTGAAAAATTCTCATAGATAAATATACATAAAACCAAAATTATGTAAATCATTGTTTTCACATTAGAAATTTGGTCTATTATTGTCGAGGCTGATTAAAATCATTTGTGAAACATACATGTCCCACTCATTTTTAAAGGAGTTCATGGGACTAAACGAGACTCTGATAATTTTTGTTTGTGTCCTGATTCAGTCATTATATTCATCATCCAAATGAGATTTGCACAGTTCAAATTTAAAAATTTTTCTTTTATATTTATCCCACCATCTCATTTGCCCAAATCCCCCTTTTTTTAGCTGTTTTTTTTTTTTCATTGGGTCAGTCTCGTCTTAGCCCAACTATATTGTGGTGCATGCATGTAATTAATGAAATTTATGTGATACATGTATTGTAATTAATGTGTGTGTATATACATATATTAGTTATCAATAGAGGGACGAATCCAATCCTTCTTGTATGTATATATATACTCCAATAGTGATTTGACTATTCCAACAATTGATTCACTTGTTTTAATATTCTTAAAACATAATCAAATTGAAGTCCTTGAAATAGCTGGAGATCTCTCCATTGAAGCATCGAAAAACATTCCCATGGACTTTTCTTCAACAAAGAGCTTACCAGATTCTCAAACATGGTGGTCAAAAGGATGCTCCGACATCATTGACGGGTCGGTATCCGTACCCGTTGTGGACCTTATGGATCCGAATGTCAAGGAAGCAATAAGACTTGCATGTGAAGAGTGGGGTATTTTTCAACTAAAGAACCATGGAATACCACTATCTCAATTGAATGATGTGGACGAAGAGATCAAACGCCTATTTTCCCTCCCAACTGAGCAAAAGGCAAAAGCCTTAAGGCCTCCTGGTGCTAAGTCTGGGTATGGTTCAGCTAACATTTCACCATTCTTCTCCAAGGTCATGTGGCATGAAGGGTTCACCATTGTTGGTTCTTCCTATGATGATGCTGGAAAAGTTTTTCCTGATCTTGATGATCATGCACGTTTCTGGTATGTGTCTATATATATATAGGGTTAGAATCATTTTTATTCCTAAAATATACACAAAAAGTTACAAATACTTATAAACTCAATTATAGGTTAATTCTATCCCTCAACTTTAAAGATTCCCTCCATCATTATCTTGACATTCAAAACACTTAACATCCAGTATCATCAGTGAGTCCTATTATTTTTTTAATATTTTTTATTAAGTTAAGGGTCATTTTTGCTTCTCAACTCCTATTTAAAGAATTATTTTTGTCCCTCAACTCAAATATTTAATAATAAAAAATATAATATGGGGCCCACTAATAGTAAGAAAATGATAGGGTAATAACAGAGAGAATCTTTAAAATTGAAAGATAAATTGACTCATAGTTTAGTTGAAGGGTATTTGTGACCTTTTGTGTACAGTTTAAGGACAAAAATGACCCTTAACCTTATATATGTATCTATATATTATATTATATTTATAGCTACTATACCATGTACAATCTACATGCATTTGTGACATACTTATAGACACATTTATATATCATTTTGTTGCTGAATATTTTTGCGGACACATGCAGCGAAACAATAGAGGAAATTCAGAAGCAATTGAAGAAATTAGCAGAGAAGGTCACATGTGTGATATTGGAGTTATTAGGGGTACGTGATGAAGAGAATAAATGGGTTAAGAGCAATAACCATACACTTCGAATGAACTTGTATCCGAGCTATCCAGACCCAGATGAAGCCATTGGTTTAGCACAACATAAAGACACATCAATAATCACATTCCTCCACCAAACCCAAGTCTATACCCAAACCCGAAGCCAAGTCCAAACTCAAGACCAAACAAGTGGGCTTCAGTTCTTCAAAGAAGGAATCGGGTGGGTTCCCGTTTGCTCGGATCCGGATTCTTTTGTGGTTCTGGTTGGTGACATCCTTGAGATATTATCTAATGGAAGGTTCACTTCAGTGCTACATCGTGTCACAGTGAGTAGGGATGCTAATCGGTATTCCTATGCATTTTTTCATAGGCCCTCATATGAAACTCTTATTTCTCCTTTTCACTCTCCTCCTCGTTTTCATGCTGTAACATTGAAGGAATATGACGCTATCAAGGCGAAGGACCGACCCAATGCATTGGCTTCCATCTCCATTTAAAGTTTGAACAACAAAACTACATTGGCTTCATTGCAGTAATGAAGAGTGTCAACTCTCAGGGTGTTTTGTTTGTCTGAAATATATGTTTTTCTTTTTTATGATGATATATAATAACAAATTCATTTGTTATAATTATAGTTTATATATATAATTACAAAAGTATTTTAATATTATCAACTAAGTTATTATTATATCACACACAAAAAAAAAAAAGTTGGTTTACTGTATCAGGAAAAAAAAGGATCATGTCATTTACATTGAAGTTGCACCTAGATTATGCTACGACAACCCAGACTGAAGACCAAACCATGGATTTAATTATCTCCACACAAAAACATACTCTTATTTCATTCAATTTATTTAGGTTCCCAAAAACATTCCTCATACTCGTAGGTGACATCGCTTAATTTAGGAGTTATTATACTAGCGTGGGTTACATGCTTAGCTATATATATATATATATATATATTGTAAATAAATAAATCTTTCATATGTAAATCAATGCTCCACCATTCAATCAAGACTAGAGAGTAAACAAATGTAGTTACTTCTTTTCTAAGAATCCAGATAAAACAACTTGTGGTATCCGTGTGCCCACAGTAATGCAATAAAGTCAATGTACACAACCTATAAGGGTACAAGTGACATGTACATAGATCTCATAGAACAAATTTAAACTAAATTTCAAGTTAAAGATCCCCCAATCATCTTAATCTTTTATATGAACTGGTCTCTCCATATTTATTTATATCTCTATTAAACTCTTCACTACTCTAAAACATTGATTTTAAACATCTATTCATTTCAAATCCTTAATTGAGCTCAAACTTTATTCACACACACACACACACACACACACACACACACACACACACACACACACACACACACACACACACACACACACACACACACAACACACACACCACACACACACACACACACACACAACACACACACACACACACAACACACACACACACACACACACACACACACACACACATCATTCTAAAACTTCAAAATAGATATAACTTCGTTACAATAACTATCTATTAGCAAAAAGATTCAAACAGTTTAGATACCAAGCCTAAAGCCTTAATTAGCGAAGTTTAAAATTCAGATCTACCTAAATAGATGCCAAATCTAAGGTTAGGGATATTTACTGAGTGTTTGGGAGCTTAAGATTACTCTTTTTTTTTTTTGCTTTCTCTCTCTATTTCGGCTTACTAGCCCTATTTACACAACTATTATTGGCACATGTTCAGCAAAAGATATGCATGTTCAATTTTTGTTTGGCAGTGGACATGTGATGAAGGGCAATTCCTTGCCTTCAACATTCCTCTATGGTCAGAAGTGCACATTGTAACATCCTCCTCCCAAAAAAAGTCCTCTAGAACTTGTTTTGAACCTTAGGAATGCCTTGAAATGGGATAAAATGCCTTAGAAGGTTTTATGAAGAGAAAACAATATTTTATGGATGTCTATTCATGGACGTGACAGTGTGAGTCACGTTTGTTTGCAAAGAGAGATAGAACAAAGATTTTGAGCTCTTTGTTCATGTCCGTGAGCAAACATGACATGTTATGTCATGCTCGTGGGTGAATATGGATAGAAGAGTTGACTTAGCAACTCATGCTTATTTGTGAGTAGATAAGAATTGCATTGTCTCCATCATCAACAGATATGCACAAAACCAAACCTGCATATAGTATCCTAAACATAAAACTTAAGGTTTCAATTCATTCTAAACCCTCCCATGCAAATGGCTATTTAAAATAAAGTTATGTTTGGTTCGAGGGGAAGGAAGGGAAGGGAAGGAAAGAGTTTTTAAGTTACCTTGTTTGGTTTTGTTGGAGGGGGTTTTTAATGATCCTTTGTTAGTTTAGGAGGGGAGGGGAGGTAATAATTAACTTACCATTATACCCTTGTATAAAAACATTTTTATTTTTAACCTTTTGTCACATAAATCAATTTTACATATAAACTAAAATTGTATAATTTTTTCTTAAAAATCACCCTAATCTTATCAATTTTTTTTACTTCTCTCCAAATAAGTAAATTAAATAATACTATTAAATAATCTTATTAGTAAATTAATCTGGATATTAAATCAATGAAACTAATGATTTCATTCAATGATTGTCTAGCTAAGAATATAGTTGTATTTGTGTATGTAAAAATGCACACATTAAGGATCATATATAACTTAACTAGGGGAGGTAATGATGCTAGCATAACACGGATAAAAAGAAGAAATTTTTAATAAATGCACAAGATAATGGGTAGCCATTCCTCTTATATTTATACCCCCAATAATTGCACAAGACAATGCTAGTCCTTAAATCACCATAATCATTTTTTTTACATAAATACTAAGATCAATAATTGTCATCATTAATAACAAAATATAATGAGCAAGAACATCTAACATATTGAACATCTAACAAAATATAATTGTCATCAAGAGCATCTTAACATATTGAGCATCTAACAAAATATTCAAAAATCATTGGTAATGCTCAAGAACCACATCTTGAGTATCTAGCTAAGAACATAAACAAAAGTTATCAATAAAAGTCATCATCTAATTAGAATCATAAAACATCATCATTATCACTTCCTTCCGTACTGATACTGGACATTGATTTGTTGTCCTAAGCCTATCATTATCAGCCATAAGAAGCCAATATATGTCAGGTAATCTTGTAACATCAATCCCATACTCTTTAAGCGTTTTCCAAATTTTTTCACCTGACAATTGTGGCACCTTCTTGAAACTTTATCCTATGATCACATTTCTTATTGAATTACCTCAGCCATAGCTAACACTGCTCTTGTTAACTCATTTAAATTAGCCTCATTCTCCTTAGACACCCTCTTTGTCTTCTTGCTATATGCACTATTAATAGTAGGTGAGTGCTCTAGGTCAAATGAGTTTTTTTAGTCCCAGTGAGTTTTCTTGTCTATCAAGCTCAACATTAATTGTGGCTCTATTGTGTGAGACAAGGTTGTTAATATCATTGACAATTTCAATGACTTTTTCTCAAGAATGATGTCTCTTTCTTCACTCACGTGCTATCTCCCCCTTATCTTTATTAGCTCTATCTACTCCATATAATATCATCATTTTTTCATAGTTTGGAAAAGAAGTAGTTCTCCACAACGCTGCTTTAGGTTTAGCTTAAAAACAAGTGAAATAGCATGTTGAATTGATTTGGTAAAAAGCAATTCAATTGCAAATGTACACTTTCCCATTTTAAAAGACCATTAAACAAGTATAGCCATGAATATGTAGGAAATTACAAAAGAATAAGATAATCAATACATGTGTAGGAAATTTACCTCAATTAATGCATCCCAAACTTCAACCTCAGCATCCCATACTTGAGTTGTTGGATTCCAAGCGAATCCATTCAAACTTTTAAAAAATGTCATATACATCTAAAAGTTTTTCTTTAAAGTCTTCCATTGATTTTTCACATTTTCCTTGTCAATTTGTTTACCGAATAAAGCACTCAAATATTTACATATATAATCATAAGCTGTAGTGGTAAAAGTGTCATTAACATTGTGGCCTTTATTATATTCGATCATGAAAGCATCAACGAGGGCATCATCTATTAATCTTGTTCAGCTCAATGTCTCTTTATTAATGTTTGGTGCCATCCTATCTCATAACAATATAATCACATAATACCAATCCCAATCTGAAAAGCTAATTAAATTTCAATGTCTAACTAAACAAATAATACAAAGAAAATAAAGTCAATGAAACAACTAATTTCAATGTCTAATCAAGCCGCAATTAAACTTAATATAAGTCAATGTAATAATACAACATATTTTAATGTCTATAATAATACAATAGATTTTAATTTATTGAGAAAATAAAATTTCAATCATCAAGTTCATACTCAAGAGCATCCATATGTTCTTGATAATTTACCCACATCTGATTGGCTATATTTTCTCTAACAAGTTTACCTCAAGCAGCCTCATTATTGTCACCTCTTTGAACACAATTATTATCATTTAAACACTTTTCTCTTGCAAGGGCAGCATCAACTTCTTTTAAAAGATCTTTAATAGAGTCCATTCTCACAAGACAGTTAGGAAGAATGCAACATACATATGTTATCATTTTTTTAGCTTTAATTCCATATGTAGGTTCAGTTGCATTGGATAGAATGGCAATTTTTTTTTTTTCAAAACACCAAAGCACGTTCAATGGCATTGCATAACTCTACATGTCGAAGGTTAAATAACTCTTTATAATTCAAGGGTAGATTTCCTTTTGAATATTCTTTCAAATGATAGTGGACTTCTCGGTAAGGGTGTTATAAGTCCTCTGTTAACATGAATCTACCATCAATAAGGTAATATTTACCTATCATAAAGGAAAATAATTACTATAATAATTTTACAATCATAAATGTAAACTTTATCAAAATTGGTAAAATATTTACCTTCAAAAACATTATAAGCCTATCTTCTCGTGTTAATGTATTTTTAATTATTCTTGAGTCAGATGCAGTATCTTCCCATCCAGGGAGCACATGAGTGAACTTTAGATCAAATGTACATGCTACTAAATGTTCTATGTCTAGAGTTCCTTCCTACCACAGTATCTAGGAGCATCTAAAGAAGGCACTTTAACTCGTATATGTGTTCTATTAATAGCACCGACACAATCCTAAAATATGGGAATAATTTCTTATCTTTTTCAATTTCAAGAGGGATGGTTGAGCCATTAGGTTGAGCAAGAAATTTTTCTTCTAATTGATAGCTGTCAAAACTTGATGAAAAGGGCGACTAATTGTCTCACCAGAATGTCTAAATCAAAATTATTCACTTCATGATTTTTTACATTGTATGTCAATATATATAGAGTTGTTACAACCATTTCTTCCACACTTGACCATTGAGTGGTTTTGCAGGCCAACCTCTCTTTCTAATATACCATAACAATTCTAAAAAAGTTCTAGGAGTCATTCTAA